GTTGCCTATATCCACGGGGCAAGAAGGGGATGAGGTTTTCACTAATAGAGAAGAAAAATACAAACTGATACTACAAAATCACACGAACTCACCAATTAATCTCACCAACAAAGCTCTAATTCTCTTCAAACAAAACCCTAACCAATAGCTCAGAAAATACCTCTAAATTGGTTCCTATATATATAGAAATCCTAAAACCAAAAGCATACTAGGAATTCTAAAACCAAAATCAAAACAGATTAGAAATCCTAATAACATGTTACCAAAACAGATTAGAAATCCCAATAACATGTTACCAAAATAAATTAGGAAATATATTAGAAACCTGCTATTCAACAATTCTCCATATCGGTGAAGTTTCTTTCAAAACTGAGCCGACACCAACCAAAACAAATACCTCACTTATTGCATCCAGTACGAAGTGAAAAAAAACCACGACAACGGACTCAATCCACAACAAGTCGAGACCCAAACGAGAATGTGATCATAAATGACTGCCTACGTATCCTCTTGTCTAAGGAATCAAACCTGCACGTCGTTCACCAAATGGCCTCCAAAGACCCTCAATCCAATAGAAGAGTTCTCAACTCTTCACCAACAAATTTGCGGCTGATATCTCCCCCAATGGCCCCAAAGTGAAACAAACCAAACACCTCCACCTGAGGTGAATCAACGGTCATATCCAAATCCAAACTATGTCCACCAGCTGCACTCGAATCAACCAACTCATCATCTGCATCCAAATCCAAATGATCCCCAAACCGTGTCACCTCAGCTGGAATCCTAAACGATGCAGTATGATCCGGAGTATGTTGAGTAATCTTTATCCAACGTGGAGTAGCATCACCATCCACCCGCTGTGATATCCCAATGATCTGATCAACACTCTCCACTTGCCGAGAGTCAAATGTGACATACCTACTCATAACAAAATCAGAGTCTACAAACTGATAACCAAACGAGCATCTGAATCCTAAATGTGCAATCGGATCAAATCTCACATCCTCGATGTGATCAAATGCTGGGCAACCTAACATCCGACGCAACCCAAAATCTGAAGCAGCTCCACCAGATTTAAAATCTCCAAACGCAGCAGTCGACAACTTATGACTAAGATGATCCAAATATGTCGAAGCTCCAAAACTCCTCTGCAATCCAATGTTCGACAACCAACGCCGATCATCCTCTAGCAAGGAACAACCCATCAAAACTGTTATCTCATCTCGTCGTCCTAATGTTTCCTCTCCAATGAAGTATCCCAAACTGTCGTGAGCACAACACAAACGTAAGAAATGACCCCTACCAAAATCAGAACAACAGATCACCTTTCTGTCAATACACTTCCTCCATCTGTTGTTAACTTTTAGGACTTCACACCAACGAAACTTGGTTGCAACCCACCAATGCCTAGAACAGTCCCTAACTGCGAAAACCAAATACCGATTACCTCCCAATGATGCCTCCTTAGAAGGTCCCCAAATGCCTGAATAAACACCACCTAAAACTCCCATCAATCAATGGATAGAAGTGCCAAACTCCACCTCGGTCATCTTGCTCATACCAATGTGCTCATAGGACTTTTATTTGCAGGTCAAAGCACTCCTCAACAATCCATACACCGTATCAACAATCGAATATTCCAGCCTCAACTCCTTCTTTCTTGGTATATATTAAATTCATAAATATTAAATATATGTTATATTGAAAACTTTAATGTAGTAAATAATAAAAATATTTAATATTTAATATTTAATCATTTGAATACTTGACGTCAAATGTTTGATATATGTTTTTAATATATTTAATATTTATATATTTAAATTAGTTTTCATATGATCGAACACTACTTATTTTCTTTTATGAACATGAGCACTAGTTATTTTCATTTATGTGATTGCACCAGGTACCTTCTGTTATATGCCATCATCTAACTGCTTAAATATATTACAAGATGTATTTAGTTTTATCATTACCATTTGTTAATAAAATTGAGGGTGATTTTCTATCTCAAAGCACCAACAACCAATGCGGAACAAACGAAGAATAGATCCAAACTGATAAAGGAGAGATTAACTCTAAAAGATCTCACCCCGCATGACGGAAACGAGATCCACAAATAGAAAAAATCTCACATTTATCACCAATTGAAGCCCTAGACGAAATTTTTAAAGCGATCTACTCCTCCAAATAGCCCAAGCGTAGCTCGAGCTCTGATACTTGTTGTGCGTGGCGGAAGCCAAAACCAAACCGATGTGCTTCGAGAGACCAAATCAAACAAACGCCGAGAGAAGGCCAAACAATTCAAAATAACGGCACAAACTCAAACAACCAATTTTAACGTGGTTCGACAAGTTGCCTACGTTCACCGGGCAAGAAGGGGATAGAGTTTTCACTAATAGAGAAGAAGAATACAAACTGATATTACAAAATCACACGAACTCACCAATTAATCTCACAAACAAAGCTCTAATTCTCTCCAAACAAAACTCTAACCAATAGCTCAAGAAATACCTCTTTTCTGTGCTCCAAATATCCCCTTCGCCGCTCCCCAAACCTAAAACGTGTTCCTATATATATAGAAATCCTAAAACCAAAAGCATACTAGGATTTCTAAAACCAAAATCAAAACAGGTTAGGAATCCTAATAACCTGTTACCAAAACAAATTTGGAATCCCAATAACCTGTTACCAAAACAGATTAGAAATCCCAATAACCTGTTACCAAAATAAATTAGAAAACATATTAGAAACCTGCTATTCAACAATAACAAGTGGTATCAGAGCCCAACAAGTGGTATCAGAGCACAACAAACTGTTATTCTGTAATTAATATATCGTGTAAAATATTCCTTTGTTAAATGCTAGTAAGCATGCATGTGCATAATCCGTGTAAGCACAAAACAAGATATAAGCTTATACGATAAATTAGTTGAAAGTAATATTATGTTAATAATTATTATATGGTAAAATGAAGTGATTAGTGATTGTAGATGGAGGTGCATAGCTGTAATATCTACTCCATGTCGATCTCTTTTAACCTTCTCTTTGGACCTCTTTGACAAAATTGCTATCAATGTTCTTGTGGACTTCGACCTTGTGCTTTTGTAGACTTTTGCAGAAAAAGCGTGTCTAAACGTGTGGGCAAAAAAAAAGTTACTTCCATACGAGCTTTATTGGCATCGCTTTGAGACCCGTGATCCCATGTGCTCCTATGTACATATCTGTAACCTAGACTTCTACATCTAGTTTATTAGAGGAGATTCTGTGATCACTGCAGATTCATCATGAAATTTTATCTTATTTTTAATTGGTACAATATATACAATGCTTTCTCAATCAACGGGCTAAATGCTTTCTTCTTTCATCGTGTTTACACTTATATACACTTAAATTAAAAAAAAAGTAGCACATAAATATCTTTTTTATTGTGCACTGTTAGAATATTGTAAATGCCATTGAATAAACCAGCTATGACAAACATATACCTCAATAGAAATGAATGTAAATTTTAATAAAAAAATTTGAGGGTGGACATAGTATTAAATGTGATAATAAATAGGATCAATACAATTGTAATAATGTCATGTGCTAATTACATGAGAATATTAACTAACGTAAGCGCTAACGCGCCCGTTCTTTAAAACTTAGGCTATTAAAGTACTATTTTTTTACAACTTAGAACATTAAAATGCTATTTTTTTTACAGCTTAAGACATTTAGTTATAAAAATATTGAAACAATAGAGTATTTAAGTCCCTCTTAGCCCAATCAATGCTCTAAGTGGAAGATGCACTAAGATGAAAGGAAAAGAAATGTGCATGCGGTGACAACTTATTTAGCAAAATTAGTTATCATGGTGATATGCTGGTGATGAAGCCCAACCTACTACTCACATCAAAACATGCAAAAATCTCGTTATCGCATCTCTTGGTCGCTCATGTAGCTAGATAAACTGTCACTTCATAATTATCAAATTTGAAATAATACATGAACACTCTAAGTTCAAACTCATATTAGAGGACAATGCAATTTGCCTATAAATTAATCAAGGCTGATATTGGATCATCCAATACAAGAGATGCACAGTGACAGGATAGTAGATGGTTAAGGTAAATAGATTGGATCATTCATTACAAAACTTGCTTGCTGGTACCATCATCCTTTGTTGGAGCAGGCATGAACTAAGAATAAAACCAACCAAAGGAACAAATCTAGTAAGTCTTAAATACCAACTGTGTTCGTAAATCCCCAAGTCATACTATACAAGACACATGAGGTATATAGACTTTAAAGAGTACTGTCACTTGTGTTGATCTATCATGCACAGAAACAACACAGCTTTTTTCCTTATGGAAGAAAATAGCTTGTCAGACCTTGTGTTTTGTAAATGTAGTCATGCAAGGTTGCAGAAGAGACACAGGAGTTACCTTTTCTTTTTGGTGTCTTTATTAGCTCTCAGTTCTTGTTCTCTACTGTGCATTCTTGGCCTTAGTTCACTGTGGAGTCATTTATTAATATTGGTATATGTTACCTCTCACTCGTGTGCTGCACAGAGCAGAAGTTATATTCTCTATCGGTGTGCAGTGTCATCGGTGACCACCAAAAACACATAATACTATTTAATTTAAGAAATAAAGACAGCTATGTGGTACTAACAAAATTTATTCAAGAATAATTCAGCAAGGTTAAAAAACCGTTTAGATTTTTTTTTTTAGAGAAAAGGATGGATTATCACAAAGATAATCTAGTCAGCTAAATTAACAAAAAAAGGTTGTTACAAAAGAAGCATACACACCCCCAACCAAGAGTGTGTACTAACGTTCATGATCAAGGTTACACAGCAAAAGTAAACCCCAACACAAGTCTATATATAGCTATAGGTCTCTCCCACAAAAAGAAGACCATTATCAAAAACCAAAAACTAGAAGATTCACAACTAACCAAAGTTTTAAAACACCACCACCAGATAAGCTCAAAACAACACCTGAATTGAATGTGCATCATTCTAGCTGGATCACCTCATCACCCATGGCTCTGTTCTGTCTTCTATCTGCACCAATAGCTTGCATTCTATCAGCACTCCTTTTCCTCCTCCTTTCTTGTAGTCTGATAGCTCGAGCAGAGATTTTTTTAGAACCTAACCAAAATGATGAGAAGGTCATAATTTTGTTCAAAAGCTCAAGAGATTTTTTCCTTTTATTAGAAAAAAGTCTATCATTTCTTTCCTACCATACACACCAAACAATAGAACAAATGAAGACATCTCTTTTCATTTTGCCATTATCAATCTCTCCTGCTTTCAAATTATGCCACATCTCTTTCAGAGAATTCCAATTACAACCATCTTCAATTTTCAGCTTGAACAGAATTGATCTCCATATAGAGTAAACAAACTCACACTTAATGAATAAGTGCGTATGACTTTCTTCCAGCTTTGAACATAAGCAACAAATTTTTTCTAACTGTATTCCTTTTTTTTCCAACACATCTTTTGTATTCAAACCATGCCTGAAAGCTAGCCATACAAGAAATTTTACTTTCAGAGGAATAGGCAACTTCCATATATCTGCACAATCACATCTCAAACCTCCATCAATTAAAAAAAGATAATAAGATTTCACTGTGAAATCCCCTTTCAGATCCCACAACCACTTTCTTTTATCCTCTTTTTGCTCTAAACATATGGAATTAAGTAAATTCATTAGAGAGAAATACTGTGACACAAAAGTCCCTGTTAATTGTCTTTTAAATTGTAAATCCCATCTCCAGGTATCATTAACTTTCTTTCTCATACTACTCACAGTAGCAAAAGGAAAGGATGTATTAACAAATAAGGATGGATATATGGCTGCAAGAGTATGTGAATCTAACCATTTATCAAGCCAAAATAAAGTTTGATTTCCTTCTCCAACCTCCACTTGGGAACTGCAAATAAAGCTATCCATATTAGTAAAAAAATTTCTCCAAAAATGAGAAAGGTAAACTCTTCTAGAGTAAAAATATTCAGACCAATTGTTTTCAAAATATTTGTAAAAGCTAATTTGTTTCCACAGACTAAGTTTTCCATCAAACCATTTCCAGATCCATTTTCCTAACAAGGCTTTGTTCATAATTCTCAAATTGATAATCCCCAAACCACCACAGTATTTAGGTTTACAAACCTTTTCCCATTTAACCAAATTGGAATACCCTTTGTGATCCAAAGATCCAATCCATAAGAATCTTCTTCTTATTTTATCAATAATCCAAGAAGGAAATAAGAAGAAGGAAAGCCAAAAGAGTGGCATAGAGGAAAGGACTGGAAGAAGGAAAGCCAAAAGAGTGGCATAGAGGAAAGGACTGAGTTAACTAAAACTAATCTCCCTCCTCTTGATAATGTCTTTCCCTTCCATAATGCTAATCTCCTTTCTATTTTCTCAATTAAAGGAGACCAATCATCTTTTTTTAACTTTCCAGGCCTTAAAGGTACACCCAGATAAGTAATAGGAAATTTTCCACTTTTACAATTCAACATAGTGGCCAGATTCTGTTGAAGATCTTCATTATTCTCAAGAGCTATAAGGACACTCTTATTAAAATTTAATTTTAAACCTGAAGTAAGTTCAAAGCAATACAAAATCAGCTTCAAAACTGTCAATTGCTCTCTATTATTCTTACAAAAAATCAAGGTATCATCTGCATATTGAAGACAAAAAACCTTGTGAGTCATATTGATTGGACCTAATCCTTCAATAAGTTGAGATCCAACTGCTAAGGATAACATTCTAGTAAATGTATCAGCAGCTAGCACAAAAAGCAAAGGTGAAAGAGGGTCTCCTTGTCTAACACCTCTTTTGGACATAATCCATTTCCCTGGTTTATCATTGATTTTGATAGCTGACATGCCTTTATTTAAGCACATATTTACCCAGTTAATCCATTTTTCACCAATTTTTTTTGCTTTCAACACCTCCAAAATGAAATTCCAGTCTAACATATCATAAGTTTTTGCAAAGTCCAATTTTAGTAAAATTCCTCCTTTTTTATTATTTTGAAAACAGTCATCTATGATTTCTTGAGCTGCAACAACTCCATCAAGCAAAAATCTATTTTTAATAAAACCAGATTGCATTGGATCTATAAGCATCTCAAGCTTAGGATTCAGCCTATTGGTCAAGACCTTAGTAATAATCTTGTAAATTACATTTAAAAGACTGATAGGCCTGTAATCATTGACTGTACTAGCTTCATTTTTCTTTTGAATAAGAATAATGTGAGCATAGTTAATTCTATTAATTTCCAGTTTTCCTTCATAAAACTCCTCAAAAAGTCTCATTATATCCAATTTCACAACCTCCCAAAAGACTTGGAAAAAAATGGCAGAAAACCCATCAGGACCAGGGGATTTATCTCCATTCATATCAAAAATGGCTTTATGAACTTCCTCTTCAGAAAAAGGAATTTCAATATCATTGGGCTCCCAGTCAACTGTAGGAAAAAGACAATTCCAATCCAATTGACATCTATTAGACACATTTTGACCAAAAATCTGCTTATAATGATTTAAAAAAAATCTGTGCAATCCCATTTTCTGAAGTCACTTCAACATCATTATGTAATATCAGGTTATTCATTTTTCTGCCATTAGCAATTTTATGAAAATATGCTGTATTATTATCTCATTCCTCAAGCCAATGAGCCTTGGATCTTTGCTTCCACATTTGTTCTTCTTGAACAAGGATCTCATTTAATTGAAAAGAAATATGATTTTTTTTATCAACTCATCATCCTCTAAATCTCTGTTCTCTTCTATAACTTCCCATTCTAAGAGATTTTCTAATAAATCCTTCTTTTTTTGTCTGACACTATAGAATTTTGAATGTGTCCATTGTTTAATGCATTTTCTCATAAATCTCAATTTACCAACAATATTCTTGGTAGCCGAATCATTCCTGGGAGCACATTTCCACCAAATTGGTACATTGTTCATAAAATCCTCAGATCGCAGCCATATTTTTTCAAATCTGAAAATTTTAAAATGTTGTTGATTATCACCAAAATCAAAGCAAATGGGAGCATGATCTGATAATTGACTACTAAGACCTTGTTGTCTTGATAAAGGAAAAATATCTTCCCACTCAGAGTTGAAAAAAACTCTGTCAAGTCTAGCCATAGCAGGTGATCTTCTCTTATTTTTCCAAGTAAATTTTCTTCCATGTAGAGGGCTATCAATCAATTCCAATTCATTTATAATTTCTTTAAACTCTTCCATTTCTTTTCTATAATTTGTTTTTCCTTTTCTTTCTGCAGAGTTAATGGTTACATTGAAGTCTCCCACCACTACCCAAGGACCTAAAAGTCATTTTAACCTCTTTAAGCTCCTTCCAAAAAAGAGTTCTCTCTGTATTACAATGAGGACCATACACAGAAGATATAGTCCATTCAAAGCCATTTTTTTTTATTTTGAAGCTTCACAATCAGGACAAAATTACCCACAGCATCTTGAATTTTCCTCCATTTATTATTATCCCATCCAATCATAATACCACCAGAAGCCCCAATAGAAGGTAAACACTTCCAATCAAACACATTACCACCCAAACTCTTTAATATGTTGTGAGAAGAACAACTAATTTTTGTCTCTTGTAAACATATAATTTCAAATTTATTCAATTGGCAGAAATCCTTAACTCCAAATCTTTTTGAGCTCAAACCCAAACCTCTAACATTCCATGTAACTAACATTTGAATGTATCAAAACTCCACAAACAGATTAGAGTCTACTCAGAGGTAGCTCTCTCTTGTTCCATCAGCCTCATTTTTTTTATAGGATCAAAATCTCCCTGAGGCTCAAGAATAATAGCATATTTAGAAGCAATTTTTTGCAGCTGCTTATTAGAGCACACATCAAATAAAATAAGAACAAAATTAGATCCTAGAGAAGAGGAATTTTCACCTGAACCACTAGAAGAAGCCCCTGGAGTAAAATTTTTTATATCTTTCATTGCAGCTCTTGAAGTGGCCCTATCCAAAGCAGTCATAGGTTCCATATCCACAAATCTTGAACATCTTCTGACAAATGAGACGTTTGGATAAGTACCAGGTGGCAAAGAATTTAAAGGCTGAATTATAGGAATGTCATCTTCCTTCTCTTGACTTTCTTCATTGTTGAAGTGTGCTGGAAAATCTAACCATTTCTTTTGTGAATCACCTTATCCTCCCTATTGGGAGACTCATGAATCTCCTTTTCAACTTCTTTATCTTTATCTTTCTCACTATCTATCAGCATTTCAGCAGCATCTTCTGTCTCAGTCATCACTATCTGTTCTGGGTGTTGTTCACCAATATTATCTTCTGAAATACTTTCCCCCCAAACCCCCCATTCAGATTTCTATTTTTGATAAAAATCTTTTGCATTAGCCCATAATCTAGCAGCAGGAGAGCTCCATGGATTTTCTCTCCAATCTTGTTTAACATTCCATGAATTAGACTCAGAATCTTTCAAGGAAGAAGAACCAGTACCACTATCTCTTCTACCTTTAAACCACTTATCATTATAAGAACTTTGATTGTTGTCTTCCAATTGGTCCACTTTCTGTTTTTTCTTTTCTCCTTCAGCTTTTTCCCCCATTATAGACATAATAGAAACCTCAATGTTGTACTGATTTTTTCCAACAAAAACCTTCAATTTTTTAGGTATATCAATGTATTTTAAACAGCTGACCAGCAACACAGCATCCACAAATTCAGTACAAGCATTAGTTAATGAATCTAACTCAACAAGATCAGCAAAAGGTTTGACCATCTGAGCAAAAGATTCTTTATTCCATAAGTGAGGAGGAACATTTTTTAGTTTAATCCACACATAAGATTTCCTCTTCTCAACCACATTTCCTTCCCAGGCACTCCATCTTCTAAGTTTTATCTTACAAGATCTCAGAGATATTACCCCCATTCTTATTAACTCATCCATCTGTTTCCACGGTTGAATTTTAACCAACACTTCTCCATTGGTAAAAAACCTCACATCCCAATGCTTATTCATAGGAAAATAAGCTCTCAGATCTAACTCCAATCTTTCAAGAGAAATATTACCACCTTCAACAAAAGAAACTATAGCAAAGTTTCTAAACTTCTGAAAACCAGAATTAATTTCTCCTTCAAAATTTAAGACAGCAGAAGAGAAACGAGGACAGTCACCTGAGATTTTTAGCTCCGCTTCCAGATCTCCAAAATCTCTCGGCCCTTGATCTTGAAACATTGAAAGATTCTCATGAATTTTTTCTTCATCAACCGAGTCCAGAGTTCAGCATTTTCTGAAGGAAGATCTTGCTTGTTTGAAGAAGAAAAAGCAGAAGCAATTCTCTCCCTACGCCACTGCCAAGGGTTAGACTGATCAGATCTACCCCCTCGACCAGAAATCTGCCCAGATCTACCTCTAATGCCTCGACCTCCAAAATTACCAAAGCCTCCAGCACTTCGACCCCCAAAAAATCCACGACCTCCATTATTAGCCCCCCTTCCTCCATTTCCTCGACCTCTGATGTCAGATCTATCACTTCTTCTATCACTAACCCTACAATTTCTTGCCTCATGACCCATTCCTTGACAATGAAAGCAGACGATCGGATCTCTGCAATCTTTCGCCAAATTTCTTGCCTCATGACCCATTCCTTGACAATGAAAGCAGACGATCGGATCTCTGCAATCTTTCGCCATATGATTCGCTCCTCCACAACGAAAACACAAATGTTTCCTTCGAATGAGATCTGCAGAAAGAAAAGAGAGAGAAGCAAGAAATTTCTAGAAAGGCGGCGATTTAGGTTTTCTCTTAACAACGCTCACCCAATCTCCCTTATCAATATCGATCCTTAATTCTTCTTGAGATCTCCGTGAGGGATCAATCCCCACCGCAGATTTTAACCCAAGTTCATCAAATTTTAACCCAGGTTCATTAACTGTGGTTTTCTCAACCTGAGGGTCAAAATTAACCCTGGTCTCATGAACCCTAGATTCTTTGGACTGGGATAAATTGGGCTTGGGCTTTGAAACCAAAAGTGAATCAGAAATTAAAGATGGAGCAGTTTCCCCCCAAATCCTTTGAGCCACAAAATCGGTTGTCTCAATTGGCCCAAATTTTTTTTTCGAATTCTCCCCCAAAAACATCATACCAAATCCAAGAGAAAAGATCAAAAACAAAAGAAAACAGCAAAGAAACCCTTGATCAAACCTTCAACAAGAGATTGGAGATTTCTTGGAACCGCCCTAGATTTCTTGGATGCAGAGAAAAAAAATCGCCAAAAAAAAAAAACGTTTAAATTTACCCCTAAATGTGATCAAAGGTTGTCTCAAATGTAGAAAAGACAATAGAATGATTAAAATATCAATTACGTTTGGGGAAAGATAGAATGCACAATGAAAAGAGACATTTTGAAAATTGGTTACATGTTCTTCACAATTAATTAGCTGCAGATGGGCTCTGCTGTTGATCGAAATCTATTCATTCTCTTGTTGCGTACGTTATTATGGTGACAAGGAAATAAGGGACAGAAGAAGCTGCGCTTAGCGACGGCTAGCGAGGGGACATGTTATTGAGCGCGTGATATACATAGGAGAGAATTTTCATACACAGGCAAAGGGTCGTGTATTCTGATGTGACGGAAAAAAAAATCAATTCGTGTTTATTGATGTGACCCAAAAACATCATTTTTTGTATGTGTGGTATACAACCAACTCATCCTTCTAGATAATTTTGGAAAAATTGTGTATGACTCCAAAAATTAAAGTGAAATTTGTGTCAATGTCTCAAAAGCAATATCTTCATGTGTTGCAGCTCCTTTGCTTTTTTTTTTCCATTTGGTTCAACTCCAAAAAGTGTAACATATGTTGCAGCTCTCTTTAAGCAATTATTACCCCCCAACTCAACATAGATGTTGGCCTTTTTATTTTGATGATGTTTTAACAAATAATTTACGACTAATATTGTTTATCTAGTATTTATATTTTTGTATTTATTTTAGGTAAGCAATGAGTTGGAGGTTAGATGGATTGCGTCAAAACGGTCATATCAAATTAATGGAGGTTGGCGGAAATAGTGGATTGAAGCCTTGCAATTCAAGATGAAGATCCAAGTTTAAGCTTCGTCCATGTTACCAAGATAGAGCTTCATGAAGATCATTGCTTGGTGAATATAGCTTGGGATTTATACCGTGTGTGTTTAATACTTCAAGCTCAATATCATACACACACATTTTATTTATACACATCTCATTTGTTTCATATTCTATTGTATTTGCAAAAGTATTATGTTTTTAGTTTATAGACTTAACAACAATAGTTTATATCTTTTATCAAGTCTATATAATCATTTTATAAAGTTTCAAAACATGGTTTAGTCATTTTGACAAAAACAAGTGTTGTTCGTTTTCATATTTTAGACTATTTTGAAAAACGATGAGTTTTCACAAATGGGGAATGCAAATTAAAAAATTCTTTTTGTAACATGTTCATTATCATGTTTACAATTATTTTCTAAAGTTTTACATTTTCTAAATTTATTTGCTATTTTTAAAGGCACTTCAAAAATCAGATTTTCTGTTTTAAGCAGGCTGATATTGCGTTATCAGTCGACTGATGAAAGTGTTCAGTCGACTGATTAAAACACCTGGAATCATCAATAATTTTTGTTTTTATGTTGGTCGACTAATGAGCTGGAAAATGTCTATAACGGTCAGCTCATCAGTCGACTGATAAAACCCGTCAGTCGACTGATATTGTAACGACTATTTTTTTATTTCTGTTATTTTTGTCTTTTAGCTGATTTTGTTGGTTTCTTTTTGGCTTTGGGGTTTCCTATAAATACCCCCACATATCCTCAGTTCTAAATAAATCCAAAAAAGTTTCTAAACAAGTTTTTAAGTGTGGTTTAAGTTTTGTTTAAAGTTTGTTTACAAGTTTGTGAAAAAAATTTCACAAGAGCTAGAGGAGATCATCATTTGTGTTTGGGCTTTCAACTCTTTGTTTACGATTTTTTTTACGATGGAGATCATCATAATTTCCATAAGCTAGTTTTTACGATTGAGTTTATATTTGATTTCTACTCTTTGTTTACACACACAACCATTGAGCTTATTGTATTTGCATACATAGTTTAATTTGGGGTCGTGGGTTTGTGACTTAGAGTGTGAGCTTAATTGTGTTCTCATCCAAATTAGAGAGCAACCATTTGTTGTAGAGAGTCTAATTATGGGATACACTTTGTAATTCATTTGTACACCGAGAGGAGTGTGTGGTGAGAGACGGGGTCATCCCAAGAGGAGTGGCGTCGGTAGTAAAGTCTAGAGAGAGGTTATAAATCTGAGCACTTAAGGGAGACACGGGCTAGAGACCAACACTTAGAGGGTGTAGAGTGTGATTGCAAGAGTGTTGATTGTAAAGTTTTCGGTGAGCTAGAAAACTGAGTGTGATGTGTAAACGTTTTCGGGTGAGCGTTAAAAACCCAGTGTGATAGTGGATTTCTCACCGGGAGTGGGGAACGGAAACGTAGGACGAAAGATCCGAACTCCGTGATCATATTACTTGTTTGAGTTTGCATTGACACACTCTTTTTGTTCATATTTTAGCCATTGTCTCTTTGTTTATATTGTCCACTATTTTGTTTACCCTTGTTTATATTGCTTATCCTTGCTAATAATTCATTGCATATCTTATTTGCTAACTTGTTAATAAGTTTTTAATTAGCATTAAATCGGATTAGATTGACATAAACCTTATTCACCCCCCTCTAGGGTTCTTTCCTAGTGGTATTAGGGTGCTTTCAATTAGTATCAGAGCTTGGTACTCTTTGATTTAAAGTTTAATCGCCATGAGTTAAAGATCCAAGTTATCTTATTTTGCTATTCTTGTTTTGATTTTATTTGTCATCTTGCTTGCATATACATATATATATTATGGATATGAATGGTGTATCTTGTTTAGGCTATGATCCAAATGTTGCTCCTAAATTAAATGTTTCTCCTATGACCAATGATTTCTAGATTTAATATATTTGTTATATCTTAATATTTCAATTTATGAGAAATTATAGATGATGCTTACATTGTACCCATTACGGAGAAATCCAAATAGAATAAAAATGATCAAAGAATGTTTACAATGAATAAACTTTGTTAGAATTTATGCGTAACACTTTTGATTCATCTTTTTCTAACAAGCTTGATTCTTTTGATAGTGCTTACAAACCGTGGAAATTTATAGAAGTACATCAATGAGACTTAGAGGCGACCCGACAAGCTTTGGAGGCTTCCTCTTCAAGTT